AACACTGAGGGTTGCGATCCGTTGCCGGACACGGAAAAAGACAAAAAGACAAAAAAAAAAAAGGGTGGGGTGGGAGATCCATACAAATATACCAAACTGATTTTTATTGAATGTGCTAAAGCAATTCAATGGAGGAAGGTTAGATAGCTTTTCAACAAATGGTACTGGAGAAATTGTACATCCTTAGGCAGAAAAATGAGACTCTCAAGGTCAAGGGTTCAGATCCACATACCAGCCAGCCACCAAAAAAAAAAAAAAAATTGAGCTTCAACTGAAACCTCACATCTTGTACAAAATTAACTCAAAATGGATCACAGACTTAAGTGTAAAACTAAAAAACTTTTAGAAAAAACATAGAAGGAAGACTTTGGGATCTAGGGGTAGGCTGAAGCATTCTTAGACTTGACACCAAAAACAAGATCCACAGAAGGAAAAAACTGATAAATTGGACTTTCTTCAAAATTTTTAAAATTTTTCTTTGCAAAAGATCCTGTCAAGAGAGTGAAAAGACAAGCTACAGACCAAGAAAAAAATCTTTGCAAATCAAGTATTTTACAAAGGCTAGTGTCTAGAATATAAAAAGAACTCTCAAAACTCAACAGTGAAAGAAACAAACAATTCATTTAGAAAAGAGGCAAAAGACGTGAATAGACATTTCACTGAAGAGGATATACAGATGGCAGATAAGCCCATGAAAAGATGTTCAACATAATTAGCCATTAGGGAAGCGTAAATTAAAATCACCATGAGATTTTTTTTTTTTTTGGCAGTTGGCCAAGATATTACTACACACCTTCCAGAATGGTTAAAGTAGGTCTGGCTGGTTAGCTCAGTTGGTTAGAGCGCAGTGTTCTAACACCAAAGTCAAGGATTCAGATCCCTGTACTGGCTAGCCAACAACAAAAAAAGAAAGAATGGTTATAATAAAAAAAAAATAGTGGCACTGTCAAATGCTGGTCAGGACCTGGAGAAACAGGGTCACTCACACACTGCTGGTGGCAATGTAAAATGGTACAGCCACTCTGTAAAACAGTTTTGGAGTTGTTATAAAACTAAAGATGAATTTCCCATATAACCCAGCAATTGCATTCTTAGGCATTTATCCCAGAGAAATGAAAACTTCTGTTCGTACAAAAACCTGTGTACGAATGTTTATAGCAGCTTTACTCATAATAGCCCCAAACTGGAAACAACCCAGATTGTCCTTCAACAGGGGAATGGTAAAACAAGCTATGGTATATCCATTCTATGGAATACAACTCAGCGATGAAAAGAAAGAAAGTGTTGATACATGCTACAACTTGGATGGGTTTCAAGGGAATTATGTTGAGTGAAAAAAAGCCAGTCCCACGGGCCGGCCTGGTGGCGCACTGCTACAGTGCGCCGCTTGGGAAGCGTGGTGGCGCTCCCGCCGGTCTGGATCCCACATACAGACCGGTTCCCGCTCACTGGCTGAGCGAGGTGCGGGAGCAACACCGAGGGTTGCGATCCTGTAGCCGGTCCCGGTCCGGTACGGGCGTGACACTGAGGGTTGCGATCCGTTGCCGGGCACGAAAAAAAAAAAAAAAAAAAGCCAGTCCCAAAGGTTACATATTGTATGATTCCACTTTTATAACATTATTGAAATGATAAAACAGAAATGGAGAACAGATGAGTGGTTGCGGGAGTTAGGGGGACTGGGGATGGGACAGAAGACGGAGGAGGGTGTGTTTATAAAAGGACAGCACAGGGAATCCTTGTAGTAATAGAGGTGCCTGTATCTTGACTATGTGGTAGATACACGAACCTACACATGTGATAAAATTACATAGAACTAAACACACACACACACACACATACATCACTGTTAAGTAAAATTGGAAAAATCTGAATAAGATCAGTGATATTATCTATGTCAATATCCTGGCTGGGATATTATACTATGGTTTTATAAGATGTTACCACTGGGGAAACTGAGTAAAGGATATACCACATCTCTGTGTATTCTTTAACTACATATGTATCTACAATGATCTCAAAATAAAACTTGGAATTAGAAAAGTTTTTGCTTGTATATGCATTAAAAAAATCTCTAGACGGATACACATAAAAGCAGTAGCAGAGGTCACCAGAGGAGCTGGGCAGCGGGAAGAACTGAGCAGATGGGCAATGGGATGGAAAGACTTTTCACCACCTACCTTTTGTTCCTTTTAGTTCTTTTGCATTTTATAAATAAAATGTTAAGCAATTAAAAGCACTGCTTGCTCTATTACCACTCCCCTTTCCCACCGTATTCCCCCAGACCTGCTTCCAGGAAGACCGAGGCCATGTGCAGCATATCTGGTTACTGTATCTCCACAGCCGGCCGGCCGCTTCCTGGAAAAGCCGCCTATGGCTCTGATAAGTTTCAGGGCTTGTCAGTGTCCTGCCCTTGAGCCGTTTCCAGTCTCTGCCCATTCCTGTCACAACAGGCCTTCTTTGGCTTGATTTTGATTTCACATTTTTCTGGCAATGATCTGAGGATACTGTTGAGATTCTATGGTAGCTTCACCTGGGTTTTTAATTTTTTTCTAGGTAAGTGTCTGATAACTATTTATGTAGGAAATGAATGAATGAGAAAGCCAGTCAGGACCAGCAGAGATCTCGCTTAAGTCTAACACTCTCTCAAGGCTGGAAGACATGTTTTAGAACACTTTTTGGCATTTATTGACATTTGGCTTCGGGATTACATTAAACCTGTAAATAAGAGAAAGTAGTTATTGTTATAATTAATTTTTTCACCAGGCATGGGATGTCGTGCCGTTTCTTTGTCATCTTTTATGTCCCTCAGTGAGGTTATATAGCTTTTGATTTGCCTTTGTTTTATCCATTTCCATTTATACCCTTCATAGATACTTTGTATTTTTTGGCTGTCATTGTGACTAGAATACCTTTTTTAAATTATGCATTGTTTCTTGTAGTTATGCAATATAGGAATGCTATTGACTTGGGTATTTTTTATTTTCTATGTGACTTTATTAATTCTACTAGAGTTTTTTTTGGAGGGGGGTTTAACTATTTTAGCCTGTCTAGATATACAATTGCATTGCCTACAAATAATGGTATTGTTAAAATCTTCTTTTCTAATATTGATAACTCCCTCTGCCCCACCCCTGCCTAAACTAATGACAGTAGTGGGCATTCTTGTTGTTATGTGTCTATAAGTCCGTTTTCTGTTGCTCCTAACAGAATACCTGAAACTGGATAATTTATACAGAAATTAAATTTATTTCTTACACTTTTAGAGGCTGGGAAGTCCAAGGTCCAGGGGGTACATCCGGTGAGGGCCTTCTTCTTGGTGGCGGCTCTCAGCAGAGGCCCGTGGTGACATAGGTTATCACATGGCGAGGATAACAAAAGCGTATCTCATGTGCTCTACTTATAAAGCCACCAGTCCATGATAACCCATTGATAGATTAATTCATTCATGAGGGTAGGGCCCTCACAATCCAGTCATCTTCTAAAGGCCCCACCTTTCAACACTGCCACATGGGACTCAAGCTCCCAACATGAGCTTTGGAGGGGACAAATATTCAGACCTTATCAGTCTGGTAGGGCCCTCACAATCCAGTCATCTTCTAAAGGCCCCACCTTTCAACACTGCCACATGGGCCTCAAGCTCCCAACATGAGCTTTGGAGGGGACAAATATTCAGACCTTATCAGTCTGTGTGTTCTGCTCTGTAACACTTTTATAACTCAGTATGTGAGGGTGTTTTTCCATAACAAGTATTGATCTCTACCATCGATTTTATTGGCTTTGTACTATTCCACAGTAAGTGTGTCACTAAATCACCCCAAAAAGGGGAATGATGTGGCAGTATCTTCTTTTCGTCATTTAGTCAAGAGGCCACAGGAGCCCATTAGGGATGGTGTCTTCCAGCCTTGAGAGAGCATTAGACTTGGAGCAAGGTCTCTTTGCTGGTCCCAGCTGGCTCTATCATTCATTCATTTCCTACATAAATGCTTATCAAACACTCACCTAGGTGCTGGGTGTGTGTGTTGGGGGGGGGCATAGAAAATCCAATGAGACATGGTCCTGATTAGCTACGTGTCCTTGGGCAAATCACTTAAGTTTTCCGAACCTCAGTGTGTCTATTTATAAGATGAAGATACTAAAAAGAATATCATCCCTATATGCTTCCTAGTTTGATGTGTAGATTAAATTAGGTATCAGAGAATGTTAAGATATCGTTGCTCGAAGGACCTTCTCAAGTTATCACTTGCTGGATGAAGAGCAGCAGAGAAGGAAAATGACTTGTCCAAGGTCACACAGTGAGTCCCTGCCAAAGCAGGGTCTCACACATGGGTGTTCAGACCCCCACCCATTTTGAGGATCAGTTTTGGGCTCCAGGGATTCAGGCTTCGGGTCTGTAAATGAGGGGTGGGCACTTGCACCTGTGACTCAGCAAGGCAAGCCTGGTACCATATGGGGTAGAATTGGGGACCAGGATCAGGCCCTGAGGCTGGACCAGGGAGTAGGCTCCCTGCTTTGAGTGGGGCCCAGGGCAGCTGGCTGGATGTGAAGAGGAGCTTCCCATCTCCCTGCAGGTCCCTGGATGTGACTGTGGGGCAGGCCTGGAGCAAAGGCCTGGGTGCTGTAGGGAGGTGGGCCAGCATGACATGAGGAGCCCAAGCCCCCTTCTCTGGGCTCTGGTCGCCTCATCTGGTAAATGAGGGTGGTAACAAGGATCTGACAGGTGACACTGTAGAATTAGTGAGGGCTGAGTTTTATAAGCTCTAAAGCTTCCTATATTCTAAAGAAACACAAGAGGTGGTCACTGGAATTATTATTATTGCCTTATTCTACCTGTGACTTTTCCACATTCCCATCATACCCAGAAAACCAGAAAACCTCTCTTTTCTCTGATGTAGACTGCTGGGAACAGCCTCTACTGGGAAGGAGGGTTTGTAGCCAGTGCTAGAGGCTACCCTGCACCCCTCCTATACAAACTGGCTTCTCTTCTTGCCCCTTACTTGCAGCAAGGAAAAACTGCCCTGGCAGTGGCTGCCCGCAGCAACCATGTCAGCCTGGTGGACATGATCATAAAAGCGGATCGTTTCTACAGATGGGAGAAGGTACAGAGGCCCACCCTTGGTCTCTCTGTGTTGGAAAGGGAGTGGCCTCAGCTCTTGCTGGAACTGGCTTTGAAACCCAGCCCTGATCAATTCTGGGGCCTCTCAGTCTGTAGGTGGATGATAATCCCTGCCTTGCATACCACCAGGGTTGTTGGTGAGGATCTGGAGGTGGGTGAGCATCAAACACACTGACACAAGCTGGACTCCGGGCATGCCCATGTGTAGATGCTACTGGACTCTGCTGTAGCTCCTGGCTGATGAATGCGTGAACACATGTATGTGTGAATGCATATCTGCGTGGTTAATAAAAAGATGGCAAGTTGGTTCCATCTCACTGCCATCTCCAGGTGGCAACTTTCTGAGGCCAAAAGAAGAGTGTGCTGCAATTGATTAGTGATGTCTGCTGTGGACATGGGAAAGAGAAGTGGCAGAATGTAAGGCTGAGCATTTGCAGTTCCAGTCCACAAGGGAGGGTGGGGAGTTTTTTTGAGTCCTCAAAGGTTGTTTTTATACACAGAAAATAATTTTTGCATTTACTTCAGTCTTCAAAATATTAAATTTGTTAAGTTACAAATTTAAAAACCTAGTTTTCTTTAAACTTTTAAATTCATTTTATGAATCTTACTATTCTATTTATTCAACTAGTAAATTTTAACAATCAAGGTAGCCTTTTGATTAATGTTTGGTCCCATGTTTAAACTTAGTTTATTAAGCTACCTTAAACATTTTGAACTGAATGAATAAATTTAATATAATAGATTTTCTTTTTAAACACTTCAGATGCTCCCTAAATTCTTAAATCATCCTAGTAAATCCATTAAACTAAACCTATAAAATAATTTCAAATACCTTAACCATCCCAATATGGTTTACAAATTTAATAAGCTTCTCTTACACCTCTCAAATAAAAATCACTATTCCAAAATAGATCGATAACAAATTTCAATAGGAATCATGAGATTTTTTTCACTGATATTTTAGATTCCCTTAAACATTACAACCCCTTTATATATGACAGATTACTCCTAAATGTAATCCCAAAATATTAATACTGAGGGTTTGACTGACCCATCTCTGTTCAATTCTAAACCACCTTGAGCTTTATAGGTCCTCACTACTAAAGCAGTAGCTGCCAGTTCAAATCACAAATCCCCTCTGTAGCCCAGACCAATTCAATCAGAATCTCTGGGATGGGGACTAGGCATCAATAGTTCTTAAAGCTCCCAGATGGTCCCAATATACGGACAGGGCTGAGAACACTGCTCTAAGGGAAGAGCTTCTAATACCCAGGCGACAGCCAACCTCCTAGCTCATTACCTCACAGGTGGTTGGCTAGAGACTGTTTACCAGGATGTAAGATTTGGAGCTGCAGACACCAGGTGATTTTTTTTCACCCTGAACTTTTTAACAACCAGAGCTCCTCATCCATTTCCTTTAGAACGGCTTAAGCTATTGTGGGCTTAATTTAGGCTACTACATAATTCTTTTGTAACCTCTAATTTTATCACTTGCTTTGCATATAAAGAACTCTGTAACCGCACCCTTCTTCACTACTTGCTGGGATTCAGCAAGCTTGATTCTTGGCCTGACTGGTTTTGGCCACAGCTTCTGAGTCATTCTGCTGACCCCTATGCTATAAGAGAAAAGAGAAGCATCTGACCAGAGGAATTTAGGAAGCCTCCCTGGAAGAGGTGCACATAGGTGGTCTTCTGACTATGGCAGTGCGGTTGAGGGGCAGGGAGGTGAGAAAAGGAACTCTGGGTGGAAGAGCTGTGTGAGCAACTTGAGTTCCAGAGGTCAAGGCAAGGCATAGAGTCAGAAACTGGAGTAGTGGACATCAAGCCCAGGCCCATGCTGACTCCATCTCTCCAGCTCCCCAGCAGAAGTGGCAGTAGGTAATAGGAGCCTTAGCCCTGCGTTGCCCCTGTCTAGGTCATGAGGGAGAGCCTGGCAGGGATTTTCCCCAGGTGGCTTCTGCACTTTTGGGATCTGTCCCACAGGACCACCTTTCACACAGGGACCCCAGTGACCCCTCTGGGAAGAGCTTGACCTTTATGCAGGACCACCGGCGGGAGACACAGCAGCTCCGCTCTGTACTATGGCGACTGGCCTCCAGGTATCTGCGGCCCCACGAGTGGAAGAAGCTGGCATATTCCTGGGAGTTCACCGAGGCCCATGTCTGTGCCATCGAGCAACAGTGGACAGGTACCACTTGCCTCTCCCCACCCCAGCGCAATCAGCGGGCACTGTTAGATGTGTTTGGTCTTCTGTGCTTCTGGGGAAAGAGCCTGTGCAACCCTGGCCTGTGCAGCCCAGCCACACACCGTTTCCACCGTGCCACGTGCTCTTTCACTCCTCTAGACCTTTGCCCAGGCTGTACACTCTGCCTCTCCCCACCCACTGACCTGGGAGTTTCACATTCTGGAACTGATGCCCATTGTTTATACACTAAACTGAACCATTCCCCGTAAAAAGCCACAGTGGCGGTTGGCATGATTATTTAACATCTATTTGGATATTTTGGCCCTGGCACTAAGGCATGAAAAAGAAATAGAAATAAGGAGTGTAAATATTGGAAAGTGTTTTAGTCAGTTTTGTGTTGCTATAACAGAATTACCTGAGACTGGGTAATTTATAAGGAAAAGAGGTTTATTTGGCTTACGATTCTGGGACAGCTGCGTCTGGCATGGCCCTCAGGCTGCTTCAGAGAAAGAGGGGGTAGGTGCCAGGGTCCTTTAAACAATCAGGTCTCGTGGAACTAATAGAGCAAGAACTCACTCACTACCCCTCCTCCCCCAGGGAGAGCATTAATCCATTCATGAGGGATCCACCCCCATGACTCAATCAGTTTCCAACACTGCCACATTGGGATCAGATTTCCACATGAGTTTTGGAGGGGACAGCACATCCAAACTCCATCAGAAAGGAAGAGAAAGAATTATTAATTTCGGATGCTATAATTGTATACATAGGAAGTCCAGAGGTATCAACTGAAAAATTCTTAGAATTAATAAAATAATTCAACAAAATGGCTAAATATATAAAAATATGAACACCATAGCATTCCTCTGTACCATCAATAAATGGGCAAAAAATATATAGACTCGGCCGGCCCGGTGGCGCACTCGGTAGAGTGCGGCGCTTGGGAGTGCGGCGGCGCTCCTGCCGAGGGTTCAGATCCCATATAGAGACCGGTCTGCTCACTGGATGAGCGTGGTGCAGGCGTGACACTGAGGGTTGCGATCCCGTTGCCGGTCACGAAAAAAGACAAAAAGGATAAAAAAAAAGTAATTATAAATGAGTATAGTTATACCTGCTTTTACTCTTGGATGAGTCTCACAAGTTGACTGTACGTGACAGGGAAGGGGTGAATTTTACACTCTGCAACCCAGAGTCATGACACTCGGCAATAACCTTTATTCTCAAATACTACTAATGCATAACATCTAAATCACACAGAAAAACAATACGAGTCTTTGCAAATAAAAGGTGTAGTAAAACCATACATACCTTTTTAAGGGGAACTGTACTTCTAAACCAGTTATAATCAGGAGAGACCTTAATCTCTCCCATGATTAGCTGAAATGGAGGTTAACCCTGAAATAAAAGCACGCGATGTTTCATGTCAAGAATTCATGTTTATATCAGAACTAAGTGCAGAGCCTGGTCTAGCTATACCAACAATACTTTAAAGAGTATAACTGAGGAAATGGGCTATTTTACCTTGAATAAGGGGATCTTTTTTTTTTTTTTTTTTGTCCTTTTTGAGACAGGCCGCACCGCGCTCAGCCAGTGAGCGCTGTGAGCGCACCGGTCATCCTTATGTAGGATCCGAACCCGCGGTGGGAGCGCTGCTGCGCTCCCAGCGCCACACTCTCCCGAGTGCGCCACGGGCTCAGCCCAAGGGGATCTCAACCCTTGACTTGGTGTTGTCAGCACCACACTCACCCAGTGAGCCAACTGGCCATCCCTACATGGGATCCGAACCTGCGGCCCTGGTGCTATCAGCACCGCACTCTCCCGAGTGAGCCACGGGCCGGCCCAATATCTAGACGCTTTTAAAAGAGACTCCATTGACAAGAGTGTGTGCATTTCATCTGGAAAGTCTTTTTTTTAATCTAGAAAATCTTGAAGAGAAATATGAATTACACATATTGGAGTGAGCAGCACTGAAGCCATGTTAAGACCTAAAACTACCTGGGCTGTAGGCAAATTTTAAAAGGACACAGTTTTTTTCTCGGCGTGCATTTTTCTGAGTTCCTTCTTTTCCGATGGATTTGATATTTTGAACCTTGGTTATAGGTCAAGATAACATTATTTACATAAATGCAAAGTGGCTTTCCAGCCTGCCTGAAGCTGCAAACTTGCAACAAGGCACGTACTATCCAGCAGGACCCTGAGATAAGGATGGGAGCATGGTTATTTGATTTTTTGAACCTTGGTTATGGGGCAAGGTTACATCATTTACATAAATGTAAAGTTGTTTTCCATTCAGTCTGGAGTTGTAAACATGCCATGAGACACATACTATCCAGACCCTGAGAACCAAGGAAGACATCAGTAAAGCCATCTGAGAGGCTACCCCTCCTCTCCCTCCCGATGTCTGGGCTGAGCTCCACTGGAGTTCAAAGGCTTGGTGAGACCCTTGGCCTCCCTCCCACCTGGGTGTGTTCAGAAGATGTACAGGGTGGCATAGACACGTGCTCTGGTAGGTCGGCCTGGTTGGCTCCTTCTCTCTCTCTCCCCTCACTGTCCTCAGGCACCAGAAGCTACCAGGAGCACGGCCACCGGATGTTGCTTATCTGGCTGCATGGTGTGGCCACAGCTGGTGAGAACCCCAACAAAGCACTGTTTGAGGGCCTCGTGGCCATTGGCAGGAGGGACCTGGCTGGTAAGAGTATCCTCTGATCATTACACATTATATACATGTATCAAAATGTCACTCTGTACCCCATAAATGTGTACAATTATTACATGTCAATTAAAACATTTTTTTTTTTAAAGAGCACCCTCTGCCGAGCTCCTGCTCAGGAGGTATGTGGCCCTGCTGGATTGCAGCAGGGTCCTTCAAGGGCTGCTCAGACCAGAATGCTGTGACACTGGCTCTGGACCTTCCAGATTCTTGGTTTTAGCCCTGCCTCCTTCTCAAACTCAGGCAGAGCCTTGAGCAGACCACGGTGCTTCCTGGTACCTGTCTCCCATCAGTGCAATGAGGGTGTTGGCCCAAATGAACCCTATGACCTTCACAGTCCCAAAAGCCACTGAGGCTATAATCTCTTCCTTGCCAGCTCTCTATACTTTGATGTTTTTTAATTCCCACTTTGGAATAAGGCTGGAACAGACTTCTTTTTCACAACCATTAAGACATATGAGCCCAAAGTGACTTAATGCAAGTTGAACCAGTCAGATCTGATCAAATAAAATTTCTGAGGCCGTCATAACCTATTTGAGTGCGCCAATCCCAAAAGCCTGATTTGGGAATCAGGGCATCCCATGGAACCATTAGGCAAGCAGGATAAAAGCTTCTAGTACTAATCCCCATTAAAAATAAAATCAGTGCATGTCGAAAAAGCCTTAAACACTGTAATGTCCATTGACATGGTGCATTATGGGCAACCACAGGATAGGGTATCAGGCAGCCACTGACAGTAGTGAAGCCTACGTAAGTTATGAGGCAAACAGGAAAAACATTTGTAGCATATAACTGAGGGGAAAAAGGAAAATCATAGCATCGTGGCTGTCCCACAGCTGCTACAGACAAGGTGGGAAAGCAAACAGTCATTTCCGGGTGGAAGAATTAGGGAATGACTTTTTTCTTTTTCCAAAACATTCTTAAATATTATCGTTGCATCTTCTTTTAGCACAAACTCTGGCAGGCAATTAAAACATAAAAGCAGCCCTGTGAGGCAGAGTTTAGGCAACATGAGGCAACAAGATTCTTGTCTTTTGCAGAAAACATCAGGAAGAAAGCAAATGCAGACTCGAGTGCCCCCAGGAGGTGCACAGCCATGTAACTGGCGGGCCGGACCCCAGGTAGTGGGACCTCAGAGTGTGGGCCACCCGAACAGAAGATGATCACCTTTTAAGGGCTTTTAACAAATCACTGTTCACAGACTTCCAGCTGCTTCTACTGAAACAGTCATGCAGAGACTAGCAGGCAAATGTTTGTAATCTTTTTCGTGAGGATTGGTCCAGAGTCCTGTTAAAGGTTTTGCAGATAATCCTGGCCCACAGGATGGTCCTTTGCAGCTCTCAGCTCACTTTCACCTCTACCATCTTGGAGCCTCCCAGCCATCCCCTGAGGTGCAAGGGGTGTCTTTACGGATTGGACCTTGAAGCCCAGGGAGGAGAAGCAGCTTGCCCAGGTCATAATGCTAACCAGGTGGTGGGGTCAGGTGCCAAACCCAGCATTCCTCCCACCCCAACCTGGCCACGGGGCTCTGTCAATCACTTACAGAATGGACTGCCCTCTACTCATTCACTGGTTTTTAAGAATGTCATGCTTATTCCATTATTGCTGTTTCTATTTACAAACTTATTTGTACATTTTGACAGTCTAGGAAGCATACAATCATTTTTTCCCCTCTTGTTTTATAATCTTTAAGTTTTAAAACTTTTTATTTTGAAATTATTTCAGACTTACAATAAAGTTGTAGAAATAGTACAAAGAATTTCCAAATACTCTTCACACAGCTTCCCTAAATATTAACATCTTACATAACTACAGTCTAATTTCCAAAACCAGGAAATTAACACTGATAAAATGCTATTAACAAATCTTCAGACCTTATCCAAATTTTGTCAGTTGAGCATGCATGCATGTGCTTTTTCAGGACCAGGATCCAGTTCGGGATCACAGGTTGCATTTAGCTGTCATTCTCATTTTTTTTTTTTTTTTTTTTTTTTTTTT